ATTTTCAAGCATTGTTGTGTATTTGGGCTCTGCCCTGTGTCTTTGGCCCAATTATTCTTTCTGTTTTTGTGTCTTCATCTGTAAAACAGTTGTGAAGATTATCGTAAGGATTAAATGAGATAATCATGTAAAATGTGAGAACAGTGCCAAGCATGATGTTGTTGGTGGCTAAGTTCCGTCAAGTCTGTTCCAACCCATAGCGACCCTGTATAGGGTTTCCAAAGAGTGACTGGTGAGCTTGAACTCCCAACCGTGCAGTTCAAACTGACTTTGCCGGCCAGCGCATTAACGTACAGCGCCACAGCAGTATGAAGTAGATGGATAATACATGGAGGTGGTGGTTGTTAGGTTTTCGAGGCTATGATCTTTTGGAAGCAGACTGCCAGGCCTGTCTTCTGAGGTGCCTCTGAGTTTGGCTACTCAGAGAGTCTTTATCCATTAGGAGATAATAATAATGTAGTACTAGGGTGGCACCATAAGATAAGCACTGACCACCATGTCTGTGGTTCAAACTCTATCCGTTCCTCAGAAGTCCTATACAGTGTCACTAAAAGTTGAAACCGACTTGCCATCAAGTCAGTTCCGAATCAAACCCTGTTTAGGATTTCCAAGGAGTGGCTGTTGAGTTTGAACCGCCAACCTTGTGATTAGCAGTCCAGAGTTTATCCTATAGGATAATTCATATAATTCATAGAAGAGGAAAGTCACAGCCCCTAATTTTAGACTCTTTTTGTGAGGTAACCCCATTTATTATCAGTTTTTAATATAACCTTTTTGTACACATACACACACGCACACATATATATGTTGTTGTTATTAAGTGCTGTCAACTCGATTCTGACCTATAGTGACCCTATATGGGGTTTTCAAGGAGCAGCTGGTGAGCTTGAACCACTGACCTTGCAGTTCAAACGACTTTGCAGTCTGACACATTAGCCCACAGCGCCACACCTGGTCTCTCTCTCTCTCTCTCTCTCTCTCTCTCTCTCTCTCTCTCTCTCTCTCTCTCTCTATATATATATATATATATATATATGTAAAGCCTCATCTTTCTCCTGCGGAACCGCTGGTAGTTTCGAACTGCTGACCTTGTGGTTCATAGCCCAATTCGTAACCACTATGCTACCAGAGCTCCATATATAAATAAAAATAAATATGTGAATATCTTCATCATAATACTAGCCAGATTAAAAAAAAACCCAAAACCAAAAACCTGTTTTCAAAGCACTTTGAAGGTAGGCAAGGGAAGATATCATCGTTGTTCCATTAATGTACTGATGAGAAACCAAGGCCTGCAAGTTAAATCCTGGCACACTACAGCCCTGATATTTCCCCTTTGTTCCCTAAACTCTCAGAACTTTAAAAAGGAACACAGTTTGAGTCCCTCAAGGATGCTAAACTGCCATTTTGATGTGGTGTAAATCAGCACAGGATTTTTCTGGGAAGGGTTGTTGTTGTCAAGTGCCGTCGAGTGGGTTCCGACCCATAGTGACCCTATGTAGCGTTTCTGAGTAGTGGCTGGTGAGCTTGAACCACCTACTTTGTGGTTCAGACCAACTTTGAAGTACAGTGCATTAACCCACAGTGACACAGAAGGTTTAGAGAGATGAAAAACAGAGCCTTCAGAATTGTATAGGCCTAGATGGAAGATAAGTTGAGAAACAGTAACTTTATGTTTTGGTATTTTTGTTTAATAAAAGTTTCTATTTAGCAATAGTTTTTGACTTACTTTCATGTATCTATTAGCGCTTATCTTTTTGTAAAAGACAGTCTAGAATTGGCTGTAGTTGTTGTTGTGAAGTGTTGTTGAGTCGGTTTCGACCCATAGCGACCCTAGTTATCTGTTATTGGTAATTATCTGTTAGCATAACACACTGGGGTGAGTCCAATTCATTCAAGGTCCACTTGCCATTTCTACTTGTCTCTATAACTGTTTTTCAGGGAACTCTCAAGTTAGTCCAAGACATAGGGTTCCAGTTGGACAATTTGCAAATACCTCCTTGTTGTTTGTCTTGTTTCAACTCATAGTGACTCTGTATAGGGTTTCAGAGGAGCAGTTGGTGAGTTTGAACTGCTGACCTTGTGGTTCAAATGGACCTTGCAGTCAAGTGCACTGAGTACCGTGTTCACTGCTTTGATTCTTACACCCATCCATACCAAGTAAGACAGAAGTGCAAGTGGCTGTATTCTCAATCTGTTACTTCCGTCTACTTAAGGACCCTGCACTTTGCCAGAAAAAGGTTGTTTCTAATACCAAAATAAAACCAAAAATAAATGTAGTATAGCATTAGGTAAATGTTCTGCAAAAGACTTCTCAAGTGTTCAAAAGTGAAGATGTCATTTTGAGGACTAAGGTGCACCTGACCCAAGCCATGGTATTTTGAATAGTCTTACCTGCATTTGAATTATGGTGTGGGTTGTTGTTGTTATGTGCCGTGGAATTGGTTCCGACTCATAGCAACCCTGTACAGGGTTTCCGAGGCTGTAAATTTTTAGGGGAGCAGAAAGCCTCATCTTTCTCCCCTGGAACAGCTGGTAGTTTCGAACTGCTGACTCTGAGGTTCGCAGCCCGATTCGTAACCACTATGTTACCATAGCTCCTTATGGTGTGGGTAAAGGATATTAAAGATACCATGGACTGCCAGAAGAACAAACAGAATTGTCTTGGAAGAAGTACAGCCAGAATGCTCCTGAGAACAATGGGACTTTGTCTCACGCACTTTGGACATGTTGTCAGGATGATCTCTAGTCCTGGAGAAGGGCATCGTGCTTGGTAAAGAACATGGCCAGCAAAAAGGATGATAGAGAACATGCAACCTGAACTCCAACATAAGCATGGTTATGAGGAAAGCACAGGGCAGGGCAGTGTTTTGTTCTGTTGTACTTTGGGTCACTATGAGTTGGAACAACAGAATCAGTCAAATTTATGTCTAGTCCTTTAAATAAATATTAGTTATATTAGTAAAGAATGTAAATGATGTGTTCTTTAATGATTACATTTTTATGTAACAATATATGTACTTAGTAGTGACAGTAAATAAATAATAAATCTATAATAGAGAAAGTCAGTGGTGAGAGGGGAAAAGCATATCCAGCTATCTTAAAACATGCAATTACCTCTTCATGTAGCACCCCTTAAGACTGTCCATACATTAGCCATGCTTTTTGGTAAACAGTTTTTAATGTTGCATGTTTTATGCATAGTTTTCCATGTAGCTTAGTTGTATTTGAGGTTCTTTCACATGCAGACATTCTTTTTTTTTTTTTTTCCTGTGTGTGTGTGTAGGATAAGCACTAGACTGTTAACCACAAGGTCAGCAGTTCAAACCCACCAGCCACTCTGTGGAAATCTTATACAGGTTCGCTATGAATCAAAACTGACTCGACGGCACTTAACAATAGCAACAACATAAGGAGCCCTGGTAGTGTAGTGGTTTAGGCATTGGGTTACTAACTATAAGGTCAGCAGTTCGGAGCTCCATGGAGGAACGATGAGACTTTCTACCTCCATAGAGATTTGCAGCCTGAGAAACTCTACAAGGTCATTATGAGTCAGAACTGACTCGATGGCACATCACTGTCTTCAGTGTAAGTAATATATGGATATCATTTTGCATATAGTTTTGTTTTTGTTTTTTGTTTTGGTATTTTTCTCTTAGCATAAATGAAAAGAAATGAGATTATTGGGTTGAAAGATACTATCATTTTTATGACACTTGATACTTACTGTGCCTGATTGCTGACCAAAACACCAGTTTTTAACTTCTAGCAATGTAAGGATTTATCAGTTTCAGCAAATTTTACCAACTTCAGATGATATAATTTATTGTGAATTGTTTTGTTTTATTTAGAAACTTTATTGTGAATTGTGATAGCATAACTAATTTTTTTTGCTACTATAAGATCTGGAGTATCTTTCATTGCTTATTTTGTGTTTATATTAAATAATAAGAAGTCATTTAACAATAAGAGGAACTTTCATACGAACAAGGTGCCCTGGTGGTGCTGCTGGATAAACATTTGACTGCTGACTGCAACATCAGCAGTTCAAACCCACTAGCCGCTCCATGGAAAAAGATGAAGCTGTCTGCTCCTATCCAGATTTACAGTCTAAGAAACGCTACATCGGATTGTTATGAGTTGGAAGTGATTCCATGGCAGTTGTTTTTGTTTCTTTTGGTTTTCATATGAACAGATGATGAAATCTGTCTTGACTATTGAGGTGCTTGCTCTTACTTCTGTAGTGTCCAGTGCTGACCTGCATTAACAAAGCTAAGCGTGGAGGGAAGTGAATCTTTGTCTTGTATAACAGCATTGAACTATTTGTTCACATCAGAATGTAATCTTAACATTTTAGCTCACCTTCAGACCGTTTCTGTAAACAGTTGTACTCCTGGACCCTGTGTGAAATGTACTAAATCAGAAAGTCCAGAAACTGCTTTAGTAACAGTTTCTTTCTTTCTTTTTACATTCAACAAATTATACATGTTTTTTCCTCTCAATGATTATAATCCCCTCCCTGCAACAACAGCTATCCTGCTTCCTCCCCGTGGATTCCTGTTTACATTTTATATTTCACAAATGAACAAAGCAAAAATATTTGATGTACACATACAAAACAAAAAATATTTATACGTCTAAATGTCTTAAGGGCATATTCTGCTAGGAGCCTCCTGTCTGTAGCCAAAGGCTTACTCAGTCCTTGGTCCTAGAGAACGCAGCTGCTCTACCAATCCATGCCATCACCTCTGCCACCATCTCTGCTGTCACCGTTTTTGTAGACAGGATCTCATGCTCCACTCATGCTCTTCCTTCTTGGTGGTTCTGGGACCGTCTGTTCCTGAAATGAAAGATTAATTACTCCCCCCTTTTAAATACTCATCTTCTACAATTACAGTGTGACAATCTCAATTAATCCTGCTAACAGTTACTCACAATTGTAACATAAAACCCTAACAGCATCATCCCCCAGCCCTTTTCACTTGATCCATTTGGAGAAGAGGAAAAGTATTCAGTGAGGATACTACCTTACCCTCTTGTTCTGGAACTTAGCAAACTCATAAAAGCTTGTAAGCCAGCCACTTTGTGCCTTTAGGGTCCCCATCATTGATAGCCAATGTCTAGATTGCCCTGTCAGCCTGGTGCTCTGAGAATGTAAGCTTGTTCCTTGATGTGAAGAATCTTTCCATCCTGGTTGGAATTTTGAGCAATTGCATCCAAAAGCAAAGGTCCAGTTCATCAAATTGTAGCAATTTACACTTGCTCACAGTATCACCATCGTTACCTTCTTCTGGTTGAGTTCTGGTTAGCTATCCAAATGGGTACCAGCTGCAAGTTTGGGAGTTCATGCACATCTCCCTCCACTTCAGACCAGCTGACTGCTTCACTTTCAGCTTTAGCTCCCAGTGGCTAGGTCAGTGACCTTGAGAGTTCACACATCTCTTTAAACTTAAGACCAGCCAGCTTTTCCTCTTTTTTCTCTCATCACAAGGTCAACAGGTGTCAGTGAAACATGGTCAAACTCAGCTCATGTCTTCATTGCTGCATTTCCTCTACTTCCACTCAAAAGTAGGACCCAGGTGGTCACCATCAAACATACTAGACTGCCCATGGGTTCCTTTGAGTTTCAGTCTTACAAGGGCTCCCTGATGGGCTGACTGTTCTTGCCTTTGATATTCTCAAAACAAACAGTGTGCTTAATATTCTAATAGCTAAACAGTCAGCTTTTTTTTCTCCAGGTCTTTTTTCATTCAGATTCTTCTGTTCTAGTAGTTTTGGGTTGGTCTGCATGTCTTTTCAAGTAGAAATGTCTCAACTCAAAAGGTTCTGGGTGGGGCTCAGGACTTCACCTAAGGCCCAACACTCTACAAAGACTTAGCAAGAAACCTATTTCTCTAGGCAAATTCTAATTCTCCTTTTAGAAAATCCAGTCGGTTATAGGCTAAAGATGGCTTACAAGCTTTCTGTAATCATAATTCTTAATATTCATTTCTATCACACTTACCTGTTTATTTTGCCAATATCCAAAAGACAGTTAAACATCTAAATATTTTTTTTCCCCTCCATTACTCATTCAGATTATCTTGACCCTTGTATCACAGACTACTGTTATTCCAAGGTGTTGCTGTTGTTGTTAAGTGCCTTTGGGTCGATTCTGACCCATAGTGACCCTGTATAGGGTTTCTGAGGAGCAGCTGGTGAGCTTGAATCACCGACCTTGCAGTTCAAAAGGCTTTGCAGTCTGGTGCATTAACCCACAGTGCCACACCAGGATATAAATCATTATTTACCTCTCCTATTTAGACTATGCATACTGACCTACCTCTTCCTATATTTATTGTTCATCTCTCACCCTCTTTTCTTCTTATGCATTGCCTTCCCCCTTCTTGTACACTGCCTTCCCCATCTCCCAAACTAATGTGTGTCTACCTGTGAATTACTCTTCCCTACCTCTCCCCAGGTAACCATCAGAGAATGTTTCTTTTAATATGGAAATTTTTCTTAAGCATTTATAATAATGTTCTCATGTAATGTTTGTCCTTTTGTGATTGACTAATTTCACTCAGCATAATGTCCTCCAGGTACATCATGTTATGAGGTGTTTTGCAGATTAGTCATTATTCTTCAAGGTTGCACAGTATTCCATGTGTGTATGTACTAAAGTTTTTTTTTAATCTAGTCTTCCATTGATGGGCACTTATGACTGTCTCCATGTTTTTGCTGTTGTGAATAGTTCTTCGATGACCGTTGGTGTCCTGGTTTGTATTTCTTATGGCTATGTAATAAGTAGAGGAATTGCTGGATCATAAGGTATTTCTATTTCCAGCTTTCTGAGGAAGTGTCATACCATTTTCAGGAGTGGTTGAACCATTTTACAGTCCCACCATCAATGTAGCAGGGTCCTAGTCTCTCTACACTGTCTCTAGCATTGTAGTTTGCTGTTTTTTTTGAACTTCACTTGTAATACTGGAGTGAGATGATATGTCATTGTTTTGATTTGCATCTCGCTCATCAGCTGCTCCTGGGAAGCCCTATACAGGGTCGCGACTCGATGGCACTTCACAGCCACAACGAGGAGTTCTGGTAGTATAGTGGTTACGAATTGGGCTGCTAATCTCATGGTCAGTGGTTTGAAACTAGCAGCTGTTCTGAGAGAGAAAGGTGAGGCTTTCTGCTCCCATAGATTTACAGCCTCGGAAACCCTGTACAGGGTCGCTATGAATTGGAACTGACTCCACAACACAGAATAATAACAACAATGGCTAGTCCTGGTGTGGCACTGTGGGTGAATGCACCAGACTGCAAAGCCATTTGAACTGTAAGGTTTGGCGGTTCAAGCTAACCAGCTGCTCCTTGGAAACCCTAATAAGGGTTGCTATGGGTTGGAGTCAACTCGACGACACTTAACAACAACAACAATCGCTAATTATCGTGACTATTTCTTCATATGTTTGTTGGCTTCCTGAATGTCTTCATTGGTGAAGTTTATGTTCATGTCCTGTACCCATCTTTAAATTAGATTTATAAATTTTACATTTACTTCCTTGTCTGATATGTTGCAATTTTTTTTCCCCAATCTGTGAGCACTGTTTTACTGTGTTGGTGCAGTTGTTTGATACACCTAAGTTTCTAATTTTTGTAAAACCCTGTCATCCATTTTGTCTTCCATTGTTTGTGTGTTTTTTACAGTGTTTGATGGTGTGTGTATGCCACGTATGAGAGCCCCTAAGTTTGTCCCTATTTTTCCATTGATGATCTTTATAGTTCTAGGTGTTGCATTTAGTTCTTGAATCACTGTTGAGGGTTTTTTTTGTTATATGTTTTTGTTTTTTTTTCATTCTTTTGCAAATTCATTTCCAGTTTTGTCAGCACCATTTGTTCACGAGACTATCTCTTGCTTATTTAATATGTTTTGGCCCTTTGTCAAAGATCAGTTGACTGTATGTGGATGGATTTATTTCCTTACAGTTTCTCCAAGTGATTCTGAGGCTGCTAAAGTTTGAGAGTGACCTTTGGGGACTACCTTCTAGCTAAATGTTCTGCTCTGTTTCTTCACAGATTGTGTCTTTCCTCTGGGTAAAGGCTAACTCTTATGAACAGTTGTTCAGACATGTTAACTGAGACTTGTATATAGAGAATGAATTGTGTAGCAGTGCCATTGCTAATGAAGAGTAGCTGGGATCGTTCTTGGAACAATAAGCCAGTGTTTCTAGGGTAAGTAGAACTGCATAAAATCAACACTTATTCTGAAATCTTCTTGAGGTTCTGGTAGTATTGTTTAAGTTCTGTTTATCTCTTGGAGTTCTGACTCAAGCAGTGTCTTGCTTAGTCTTTGATCTGTCAAAGGGTAGCACGTAGTCCTGTTGACACAGTAGCAGTAACCAGCACAGGTGGAACATCCACCATTTGGCGGGCACTGAACTGGGAATTTCATACATACATTTTGGCTGGTGGTGGAGGTGTGCTGTCAGGTTGCTTCCAGTTCTCAGCAATCCTATGTCGGGCTTCCAAGGGAGCAGAAAGGCTCATCTTTCTCCTTCGGAGTGGCTAGTAGAGTCAAACTGCTGGCTTTGTAATTAGCAGCCCAACTCATAACCCACTGAGCTACCAGAGCTTCGCATTTATATTCTTTTGTCCATCATTGATGTATTTTAACGTCTTATTGTGAATTGTGAATTGGGCCAAGGTTTACAAAACAGATCCTCAGTTTTACATTTGACAGTTCGTGCACATTTTGTTTCATCTCACTGATTGCAATCCCCTCAGTGTAACATCACTTATCCCACTTCCTCCCTGTGTTTTTTTTTTATTTTTATTTTTTTTATTTCTGTAACTCTTTTTTTTTCTGTTAACTCCTGAAGTTTGTTCTTGGGTACATGCTGCCTCTTGCCCTCAAACGTTTGTTTTTTTTTGAGGTGTATGATGTCGCTAGTGTTATTGTTTCCCTTGTACAGCTCTCTGTTGTTGGGCAGGAAATTGAACCACAGGGGTAAGTTCAGTTCCAGACCTGAAGAGTGACGAAGAGTGACTAAGATGGGATAAACGTATATGTAGTGTGTTCCTGCTTTGCTGCTTGGAACTTCGTAAGGTGCTCCTGTTAGGTGTTGTTGAGTCAGTTCAGAATCACGTTGGCCGTATGCACAACAGAATGAGACATTGCTGGGTCCTATGCCATCCTCTCAGTTGTTGCTACACTTGAGCTCATTGCTGCTGCCACTGTGCCAGTCTCTTTTGGGGGTCTTCCTCTTTTTCTGTAGTTGAGTGCCATTGAGTCGCTTCCAACTCATAGCGACCCTGGATAGGGTTTCCAGGGCGCAGCTGGTGGATTTAGCTTACTGACCTTGTGCTTCTCAGTCCAGTGCTGATCCTACAGTGACCCTCCACTTTAACAACATGATGTCCTCCAGGGGCTGATAATATTTCCGAGGTATGAGAGAGTAAGTCTCACCATCCTGGCTTCTAAGGAGTACTCTTAGAAGAAGAGTTGTACTTCTTCCAACACAGATTTGTTTGTCCTTCTGGCAGCCCATGGTACTTTTAATATTCTTCACACCTTAACACAAATGTAGTAATTATTCTGTGGTCTTTGTCACTTGTTGTCACACTTTCACATGCACATAAGACTGAAAATATCATTGTTTGCGTCAGGCCACCTTTTCCCTCAAACTGACATCTTTGCTCTTGACCAATTTAAAGAGGTCTTATGCAGCAGATTTGCCTAATGCATTAATACATCATTTGATTTCTTGACTGCTGCTTCGAAGAGTGTTAGTGGATCCAAGCAAAATGAAGTATTTGACAACTTCAATCTTTTCTCCATTTATCATGATGTTATTGATTGGGCCAATGGTAAGAGTTTTTGTTTTTCATACATCGGGGTGCAACCCCTACTGAAGGCTGTGGTCTTTTATCTTCATCATTAAATATTTTAAGTCCTCATTGCTTTCAGCAAGCAAGGTTATCTCATCTGCATATCGTAGATTGTTAATGAGCCTTCTTCACTGATT